ACGCCACGTGAATGAGAGATCGACTTCATTTTCGTAAATCATCTTTTCGTCATCTCTTTTCCCAATGGCGAAAAACAGGCGATTTTTATTACATACATCGGTAACTCTTCTCGTTATTTTTTTCGATCGAATTCTTTTGTACACATACACACACTCCGTACATATACAATATATTTTGCATCGAATTCTATCAGTCGTCCATTATTAGACGAAATGATTTGTTCGATTTCGTTACGCGACAAATACAAATTGCTGACGGGTCGGTGCGGATAAAAAGAAAGCTCGCTACGTGCGCGAACGTCCGCGCAATGAGGGGTGGGAGCTCGTGTGGGGCGGCTCGTTCGTATGCGTGCGCATTATTACGTCCTTATATTATATCGCGAAGGTACAAATGTCCGTACGTATGTAAAATTCCTAGCTCCGGCCGCGTAGAGCCATAATAATATCTGTGCTGATAAATGAGACACATAACCGAGTCTCCGTACCCTCCTACTACCCTCGACCCACCCCCGGTCGCACCATCGCCTGTCCACCCCACTATTTCTGTTGCTGCCGCCGGTGCTGCGCCGCCGATGGTACCACCCCGTATGTCTCGGCTTATTCCACTTTTGCGGCGATGTATTACGAATTTTACATTTTACAAACGGCCCCGCTATCTTCCACGACACGCGATCCTTCGAGGTACAGCGAGGCTTGTGATAAAGGACGCGCGGCGTGGGTGTTTGCACTCGGGTGAAATGGAAAGGAAAGCGAGACGCGGCTTCGAAACCGAGAGCGAGAGAGATCTCTTCGGGATGTATCCGAAAATAGAGAACGATGCTGAGTTAAAAACTCAATTCATTTCCGTAAACATGTAATATATATTTAAAGAGACGAAAATTTTGTAGATTTATTTATTTTATTTTTTCATTATTTATGAATTGCAATGAACAATGCAACGCATACACTTCGAGCTTTGATCCAATTGCTGCAAATTGTGAAAATTTGCTGCGTTACGAAAGAAGATGCATTAGAATGGCGTTTTAGATTTTGCGCGATCGCACAGTGCGAACGACAGTTTCTCAGAATTATGGAAATCTCTGGCAATGTCGCTTTCAGAAAATAGCACGGCACGAAAATATGAAAACGGTTGACGAACGAAGGGAAAGCATTACGCGCACAAGGGTTTCGCGAATGCCGCTGGTGATAAATAGCGAAAGATTTGCAAAATATATCGTGGCAGTAAGACCCGGCTCATATATGGCGGAAGAGGTTTTAGAAGAACGTATATCGTGCGTTCTGGAAGAAAATGGCGAACCGTTTGTGTCCTCGAATATTGCCAAGATATTCCCCAAGTTGCCCCGAATGCTTGTCAAGGGATGACTCGCAAAAAGAATGTTACTCTGTCGTGTGTTGAATTTCAGTTTTTGCGTTGAGAATTCGTCTGTATTAAATATACCTATTTTGGAACAATCAAATATCTATGTATCTTAAACAAAATTATTCCAAATCATATATAGACTCCAGTATTTTAATTTCGAAAAAAATTCTAGCTCCTTATAATTATATATATGATTGAAAAATCATCGGGATTGACAAATCAGTCGAGGAATATTCATATAAGAAATTTAAGTGTCAATGGACGAGCGAACACCCTGTATATGAGAAGCTACGAGGAAAGGTGTTATCATCGTGCGATTCATCCTGCTTTTTTTCTACCGGCGTTTCTCGATACTTATATATACGGACATCGAAAGGAGGCGAATCTTCTCGCGCGCGATTATCTCGATCCTTTATTCGGCGTTCGCTGACACGGGCTTTACCACTGAAAATAACCTAACCGCGTCGGTGCCGAGAGGCGCGAAATTAAAAAGGAATACGAGAAGCATCTTTAATCTCCCGGTTTATAAAGAGCCTGGGAGACGATCGCCGAGGATCGTTGAGGGAAGGGGTAAGAAAGGATTTCGCGCGGTTTGGCAGCACTCGCTACGTTTCGAAGCCATCGGCAGAAAGGAAATCGGCTTACCGGGCGAAAATATACTGATATTTATGAGGGTCGCGACATCAGGGCTAATCTTCGAGAGATAATAATTTATCGGCTACCGTCGGTACCAAGGAGTTGTATTTTGACTGAAATCCCTTAGCTGTCTGGACATCTTTGCGTGCCGGTCCACTTCTAATCTCGCCTGATGCCGGCCTATGATTTTTTGAACAGTGACATCCAATCGTCTTCCGAGTAGCTTATGAAATGTTAAAAATATACAATGAGCTTGAAGCTGACGTCTTTTCGTTTAAAAGTCGATTATTTCCTAAATAACTTTATTAATTTTCTTCTACAGTCTTTATTTGTAATAAACTTACTTATTATTTACTAATTATGTGGAGTGTAAGTTTATACGATTATACAATTGATTCTACCCAACAGAAATAGAAATTAAAATGTTTAATACCGTGATGGAAAAGAAACACAAATATAAGTATTTAATGCGTTATATCTAGCTTTTATCAGATATATCAAGATAATCTATAAAAGCTTTCTGCGGATTACACCTTGCAGGTTGGACACCACTGCTTTGCAGGACCGAGTCGTATTTCAGTCGACTTCAAAGACCTAGCTGACAGTATATCGCGCTTCGATATGGGGATAGGCGAAACGAAGAGAAAATTCTGAGTCGTCAGCGAGTTCATGATACATGTCGATAATCTTCTCGGATCGTCTTGCGAGTTAGAATTCTCTTGGACGCATCATCTGATTAGAAACGCGAAAACATTCTTGCGCTTCGCCTTGGGAAAAATGTTTCACGTGGATCGCGAGTGAGTCGCTTTCGATCGGAAGTCGCGTCGCGAAGCCACGTGTACAGAAGCAAATGCGGACGGAATAATAATGCGACCCGAAACTTCTCCCGGTATAATACATCGACTGACATTCCGTTATTTACGGTGATCGCCTTAATCCACCCTAGGAGTGACGAATTGTATCAATGGCGATTCCAAAAATTTATGGATACATTGGAATCCTACGATGTCCTGCATATCAATTACAATCACGAATCGAGACGTACTGTCTTGCTTTTATGTCAATGGAAAACTGAAAGCTTAATTTTGTATTTTATTCAAAAAATATATGACGCAAAAATCTTGTTTTCTACAAATTAGAATTTTTAAAAATCTGTATACTCCAATAGCTATAATAATCATATGCACTGTCAACGGTGCCTTTTTTGAGATATCGTGTGTCATCTCGAATTGGTATGCTACACAGTCTTCCGCAACAATATGACAATTTATATGGATTTAGGAGAGTCTTCAACGTTCTTTCGGATATTCGCTGCCTTGAGTTTTACTTTCCACGATATTCAGTAGCGTCCCTCTTTCTCTCTTTTCGTCCCTCTTTTCCGTGACTTTCTCTCTCCTTCTCATTCGCATTATATTTCTTTTTCTTTTTCTCCCCTCGCTTCCATGCCACGGATCGCTCTGCTGGGCATCAGCGAGGTTTTATCCCGCATTCAGGGACTGGCGTCATCTCTCATGGATGGATCGGCAATCCTCTTTCACTCTACACCCCCGTCCACCCCCGCGCACTTACCACCCATCTCCTGAGTGTTGTAGCACCCCTTCGCCACGGTGCCTATTCGCCCACTCGATGGGAGATTATGCCGTGTCTGAATTCACGCATTCGCGCAAAGTGCGTGCATCGCGCGACATTCTTCGCGTAATCGCACCGTGTTAACTCCTTCACGGCTTAGCGTAATATCTGTTGTGTCTTGCTGTGTTAATGACGTATGCAAAAAGTTCAGGATTAATGGATATTTTTTTAGAAATGGTTGTGCACGCGTATACACACAACTTAATCATATTTTTATTTTAAAAACCGCTAATCGATTCAAAATACAAAGCGAAAAGGCTTTATAATTAACAATATCTATATACGATTAAAATAGCATTTATAAAGCTCTTGTCGAATTTTTTTTTTTTTTCTTCAGAATTCGAAATATATTCGATATATAAAGTCGTAATTGCTATTCTCTCTATATTATTCTCTTATCGTAACAATTACACAGTATCTCGTAACGTTGCAGTTTAACTAACGATAGTATATATTATTATCTAGACTGCTTGCGATTGAAATCATTAAAGTTATTCTTCTGTCGCGCTTGTCCGGCAAGTGCATCGGCGTAATATGTTATTTAAAGATCGTTTTATTCGGCGAGATAGCCTTTAGTAGGCCCAGACGTGCACTTTCGCGACACGTAACGATTTTGCAAACTGCTCTTGTATGCTAATATCGATAAGGTGGAAAGACTGCGACCGTATTGCCGCCCGGGGATTTCCTTGCTACATCGAAAATCGTTCTTTTTGACGTTGGTTCTCAATCACGTCTGGCTTATCTTTGTACGTATCGCTGAAAAATTTCCAACTTTGTTTTGCATTTGTTGCGAAAATTACGACGCGCGAAAAAAAAAACGGACTGCCTACGATCGATTTCGTACCTTTTTTGACGAAAAAACCGAAGGTCTCGCGCGCGTATTCGTATTCTGCGATCCGTTTAGAGGTACAGCATCCTTAAATTGAGGATCACTGGCAGACGAACGCAGTTTCCAGCGACCACTAAGAGATGGCAGAGCCTGTGTCATAACATCTCTTTGCTGCAACGCTTTAAATTCTGAATTTTATTTGAAGATTATGCAAATTGCTTTTCTGCTTTGTAGAAATGTCTAGATACGGTATTATTGTAGAATTCAACAGAATTATTTGCGGGAACAGAATATAACAGGTTTATAAACACATGATTACTAAGCAAATCTCGAGTATTTAATGAGTTGATGTAGCTCTTACTTATCATTTATAGACTGACATATTGAATGGTATTATTAAATCGCAATTTGAAATAAATGATACATATATATATATATATATATATATATATATATATATATATAGTATATGGTTGTTTGCGGAATTTCGCTTTTACGAAAAACATCGAGTCTAATAAAAGTAACACGACTGTATTTTTCTTCTAGATTCAATCGTTTCGTCGTGATGTCAGATCCATAACGGGAGGACGTACAAAGGGATGCTGAAACGTGAGTAGAAATACATGTCTCAGTTCGGTACACGACGACAAATGTGATATAATGTTACCTCTCTGTGACAGTGTACAATACGCGCATTTTTATATACGGTTGAGGAAGTTTCTTTTATCGTGCAAAGGCAGTATCTGTCTAAATCCGAAACTCTTGCTTGAGTTTCAAATAAATTGGATACGTACACAAGTACAATAAAGGGGGAGAGGATCGACGTCTTTGTTATTATAAATTTATGTCGAGCAGTATGTAACGATCCAATTAACGATATGGAAAATGGAAGCTTTCGAATATTATATATAATGTAGAAAAAATCATATATATAATTCATTTGCAAATTTCTCAAGAATTTTAATAAGAGTTTAAAAGGTAGAGAGAGCTTATTTATATATGAATTCAATAAGATGAAAGAATAGGATATTATCGCATCGTAGAATTGTCGCTGGGATTTTCCACGGTATTATACGGTATAATATAATACGTGAACTTCTTTGTTCATGTACAAAGGGCCAACGAGGTGCAAATCCTATTCCACGTACTCTAGTTGTACATGCTCAAGTATGTGTCGCGCAGAAAAAGGGCCTAATCCGGCCACGAGAATCGACTCGTACGATGTTTCAGCGTGCAAGATCGGACCGATAATTCAACCGGCCGATATTTATGATATTTATTGGCCGGTCTGAACAATGGATCGATATTGTTTTCCGATTCGGAGTCTTCGTATACTCGCGTCGCTTTGTGCATCGCGGTTACGCATTTCGAACGTGCGTTCTTTATGCAGGTATATATATATATATATAGGTACATGCACACGCACACAGACACAAAACTCAGATTCAAGCGAGTCAACCGGTCTCTCTCCGTCTCTTTCTTGCTTTGTATACGAGGGGACATAAATAATATTTAATATGACAGTGCGAGGCGGCGTCGCTTTGTGCGATATATTTGGTATAGAAATGTCACAGATCGCGTATCTCGCGCTGCCAAATGCAACTCTCGCGCCCGGAATGCATCTCATCTTTTGGTCAGATTACGAGTCGACAGATATATATCGTGAGAATACGTGTTCTCTCGATGAAAAATTTGTAGAGAAAATTTTCGGCCAAAGGTAACGAAATGTCCTTACGCAAATGTTTTAAAATATTCATGTCGTTTTTAATCTCACAGATTACAAAATTAGTATTTCAACGTAGATTATATTAAAAGCATACGATGTCACGATTAATTGTTTAAAGTGCTTGAATTCAGAATTTCTTGCAATATATAATATCGTGACAGTATGATATCAGAATCATGAAAAAGGAATAGAATTTGATTTCGCGATATAAAAGATAATAATTGATTTACAAGTGTTTCTTCTGAATGGACTAGGAAATAATGGGTTGTTTGTCGACTTCTCTGTTGAAAAGACGGAAACGTGATCGGTAAAATCATCGCGCATTGTACTCTAGCTGTCTTTAGCCCGTCTTCTGATGAAATTTCGTACTAATTTGTCTTGCAGTTTGCCGAGACGCTAGACAGCGCATATAATTGCATTATGTGGGCTCGCCATTCAGCATACGATCGTGCTCGAAACATTAGCGTTTGCTCGAATCGACTCGGGGGACCGTTCGCGACGGCGGGATATTTGCCAATGCTAAATTTAGTCCTTTACTTCTTCCACGAGACGACGCCGCGACGTATCGCGTTTGTAATGCAAGTTTCCGTATATAGGATACGCGCGTAGATTCACCACGTCTTCGCGATGTTTCTGTCAAATAAATAACCTCTAAATAAACAAAGTTTCCGCGACGCATAACGGTTTAATACGACTACGTTTATGTACACTGCAACGAAATACCATGCGAATCATCGTTTACCGCGAGGAAACAAATCTCGTTGATGAAAGTTACTCGTAAAAGATGCGAAAAGTAATAGCTCGCGTTGAATCGCTTCTTGCGTGACTTTTACGAGATGTATTTCCCGAAGACAGGAATATAATTTGCGTTTCCATAGAATATTTAAGGTAGTAAGAGAGATAATTAACGTTACATACAGAAAAGACTTGCTGGTAACCGCGAATATTCCTGACGATCGTATCTAAAAGCGTAGCAGAAAACCTGCGCCAAGTATATTCTCGATCTTCGATCGATTCTCGATTGGGAAGAATCCCAGCTAGAACAAAAGACGGATCGTCCATTTGAATATCAAATTTATTGATATCGCGGCGCGGGTTCTGGTATCGCGTTATCCATAATCGTATTCAAATGAAGATCGCGTAAGGTATGTATGTTGGTTTAATAGCGGTTACTCGTCTCTTTCTTTCTTCTCTGCCTCTCTCTTCCTTTGAGCCATTCTTCGTCGTGTAAGGCTTCGAGGAGGGCCTTAGGTGCCCCCGTTGTTGACGAACAATAACGATAAACCATATAATGGTTAAGCGCGACAAATATACGTAGATATGTTGTATATCTATAAAAGGGGGAAAGGGGAGAAGCAAAGAAGAAAGTCGAAGGAGGAGTCCGCAAAGGTGGAAGGCCCCGCATATGCATACAATTGATACAGATACACCATCGTCTTTATATACATATTATATATGTATGTACATACGCGCGTACTGCGACTAGCTATTTTTCTCTCGGGGGTTGCTTGCTGATCTGTTTGCGAGCATCGTATCGGTGCGATGTGCCACGAAAAGCCTCAGATTCGAAGCGGGGTAGAAAACTGAACGAAGGGGATGAGGGAGGCTATCGCAGTCAAATATACACCGCTGCTTGTACACGGCGACTTATTGTGGGGACTATATTTGACAGGCTAGTGTACATCTGTTCCCGTCATAAGGCGTGATTTAGGAATGACAGTAGCCATTGATCCTCCCGCTTTAAAGGATCTCGATCCGGGAATTAATGTGAGCTCATATGTACTCGTATATATGTATTATATATGGGAAAATCAATATCTGCACGAGTTTGTAATGAGCAACTAATTTTAAATCGATGAATCTGAGCTTATGAAAAACGCGTTGCTACCACTTTTTATTTTAATTAATTTGGTTCGGTTTATTATTTGTATTATCCACAAATTCAGACTATAGATAATAATCGATGCAATACACAAATATTGCGTAGAATAATTTAATAATGATTTAATGTTTTCAAAATCTTGATTTATACATATATATACTTTTTCTAAGTATTAAAGTAGAAATTTGGATAATACAGTTTTAGCAATTCAACGTGGTAATTATGGCACGTATAAATAATGTTCATAAAATTCAAAATTCATTTTTATTATAATATATGTTTGACTTGTACTTGTATTATTTTATATATATATATATATATATGAATATTTAAAATTCCATCGCGTTAACGAATTCGCTATTTTACGTGAGATCACAGTATGTCTAAAATTTCTCACGAATGTCCACGATTATTTCAGAGAACAGCTCCGAAATTTTCGTAATGTTTTCTGGAGCAATAATTGTCTTTCGGTGACACGATCTAATTACGCAATCAGACCGGCCGTGAATAATAATCGCGACTCGGGGATAAGTTTTGGGAAGAGATCTGTTTGTTGTGTTTGAGCAGGCCACGTGAATACTTCACATCGTATTTCACATAAGTGAACCAGTCTAAGTACACCAGTGGATAATACCGCGGAGATATACGAACGTAGGAACGCGCGTATGACGCACCGGATAACCAGTTCCACGTGATTTGTGGCTATTCCTGGGCGATCCGGACGCGATAATAAAGTGGCAATGGGGCTTGTTAGCGAGCGGGTTCAACCAGGTCGGTCATGCGCGCGTCGCATGACAGTTAGCGTCATCGGCGGTTCATTTGGTGGAGATCATCATTCTGTGGCTCGTATGTCGCGCTCGTCTCGTGAGAAAATTGTCTTGTATAATTATGCAGGATTCCTCGTCACGAGATTCGGGGAATTAAACGATACAATACCGCCGCTTCTGTAGCGCGCGAAGGCTATTTCTTTTAAATCGCCGTGACGTAATAATTTCTTCGGACGAAGCTTGTCATTGGGCAAAGATCGTCAGTTCTGTCGCGGGATAAAGGAGTCATGGCCAAAAGCATAAATTTTCATACAACTTTATGGAACAGACGAAACAGTTTCTGTATTTTTATATGTATTATAATTTAAATAATTCTGAAGAATTAATGTGCTTATTTGTGAGTTCGAATAATACGATATCGATATTAACGATCGACATAGAAATAGAATGAAAGAGAATATGATTTTTCAAAATATTTCATATATTTAGATTATTACATATTTTATACAAATAAAATGAGCGATGCTGAGATATAGAATCCACAATTTGATGAAAGGAAATGTTTCAATATTTGGAATATTTATGAGCGATCGTTCGCTCTGGCTCTTCAAATCTCGGAATGTTTCGACTTTTGCGTAAAATATAAGAGAATCGTGCCACTGTCCAGGGATTACAATTTTAATGGACATTACAATCGCAAATGCTTCTCCGGCTCCGCTATAAGGTATACTCTTTTCAGCGGCTTTTCGACCTTTTAATCTTCTTAATTTTTGCTCCTCTTGTGATGGCGAAGCACGTTAAGGTTTAGTTCCGCCACCGGCTTATTAACTATTTCACTTTACTTTTCAACGCAAAATGCGTTCTTGTCATGGATGTTCGTATTTAATCCTACATTCCTTGTTTTTTCTATTTCCCTGCTTTTCGCCGATATGTTTTAACGCAATGAAAGAGATGTATCTGCGTATGCTTAGTTATTTCTTGTTTTATAAATACCACATTAGATAAATATTATCACGGCTAGTAAAAAGCATTACAGAGAAATGTTATCTATATGATTCATCATTAACCATTATTTCTGACGAAAATATATTTTTAAAATACAATAAAGAAAGAATTGAATTTTTATTTATGATCGTCAAATTTTTGATCGCGAGATTGCCTGGGTTTTTCGAAATTACGCGAACGAGGAGTTAAAATCGTTGAATGAAGTCAAGGTAAGAAGGCCACGATCGGC